AAATAATAATTTCCAGTTTACAGTTTATTTCTTTGAGTGTTTAAGGTCAATTTTTGTTAACGAATTTTGAAAATATTTTGGTATATTGGGCTAAATCCTACAATCCCTTGGTCGCTCTGCGTTATGAATGACAAAAGAGAAGAGGCGAAGCTACCCAACCAATTTACTGCGATTTTACAATTTGTTTTCTTATTCTCTATTTACTGAAACTACTTCAGCTTTGCGCCCTCCGATGCAAGCGTGTTTGAACGGTAATTAGAGGAACGTTTTTAACTTAGCAATTCAAAATAAATGGTAATTAAACTGTAAAAATTAACCCTTTAAACGTATTTTATCCTAGTGATCATGTAAATAACTCGCTCTGGAAAAGTTACACTTTATTCAGGGATTCCATTTGATAACAACACATACTCGTCTTAACTATGACTTCAATATTTATGTAATGTCTATATAATAAGAAGACTCCTCTGTGATAATTTCTGTGCATTGGAATACTTCCAGGACGTGAGTTCTTTGCTAGTTGCTAGCCATATTTCATGTCAATTAGCGACCCTACCCGTACAGAATGTTTGACCAAGTGCCACGTGAGGAAACTACCAGTAAAAAAAGGAGATTAGTTATTGCTACAAAAAACGTATTTAATACTTTTTCTCGTGACGTGTGTGCTGTTTGAAACAGAAGACATAAGAACGAAGGAAGAAATATTGTTATAGTCTGCTCACTTCATGCTTTAAACAAGTAAAAAGGGTAGAAAACTGTCCTGACTTATTCTTCGTTCTTTATATAAGAGGCAGTTTAGATTCTATGATTAGAATCTGGCCGGTAATAATTGACATGAATTATAATAATCGGAACTATGCGAGTGTGTGTGTGTGAGGTTTTGTGACCACTGCGCATGCCCAGGAGTCACTATTGGCATCGAAACATCGAATAACAAGTTTTCCGAAAGAAAGTAAGTAACAATAGAATGTACTTCGGAGCCAATCAGCATACTTAGTTTTCCGTAAGTGAGTAAGTAACAATAGAGTACACTTCGTAGTCAATCAGCATACAGAGATAACCATAATTCGGAATCTTTCGTCGGTAGTTCTCGATGACAAACAAAATACTTGGTGGCTGAAAAGGCAATGAAATACATCTTTTCTCAAGAAGCGTATCTTCACTTCTCATCTTCAAAATAAGCCCAAAAACCACGATACGTAACAGATTTATGCTCTCCAAATCAACTCCTGTGAAAACATCAGCATCGTTCACAGGGCGCGAAGGAGTTATTGGCGGTGGTAAGTGAAGCAAAAATTTTACAGCCGATCGGACGATTCGCCTCTGTTTACTGTAGAATCGACTATGAACTTGACCTATCAAAGTGTTGCTTGTGCGATCGTGGTAAAATATTATCTAATGCTCGGTGAGAAAGGAAGTCGCCCGTAGGGCGTATTTTACCGGGTTTATGAGACGATCGAAGGACGGTTTGCTCGATTCTGCAATACAATCACAAAGAGATGCGCATCGTTAACCGTTAAATTTAACTACAATCAAGGCCACTAATAACTCCTCTGCGCCCCATGCATTGTGTAATGACATTTTGGAGTAGACTTTCGGTCACGTGCTAGGCAACGAAGTAGTTCACAGGATCATCTTTCATTAAGGGTGTTCATTTTTCAGGCAAATGACACGCAATTCTCAACACACGTAGTAAGGAAACAAAATATTTTTCGAGTTGTTGTTCTTTAAAAATTCTATGTAAATGATGCTTTTGTTACTACAATTTATCGACTTTAAAGCGCGGCCATAGAATAAATTTCTGAGGCTCCTCTTAGGCCTTGCAAGTCTTCCCACGCAATGTCACGAAAGATCAAAAGTCTTACGAAAATCTGCGATCTTACGGCTGCAAAGGAGACTAGCCCATTTACTGCGCATTGTAAAAAGGACATGTTGGAGTGACTACGTGTCCCGCGTTGACCTTTCGCTGTCTTTTTTTATCATCTCGCAAAAAAAAGATGGTAACATTGGCAAAGTGTTGATCATTCTTCATCATTTGACGAAGTTCAGCACGCATTCATGGAAAAGGTTAAAAATACGTTACGAATCATTGAGAAACATTGCAATGCATTTTAAAGAAGTCAAATCCGTTGAAAATGCATTTTACTCTTCAGCAGCTGTCACACGCGCTTCTCAAGCACCAGTTTTTAGTCGAGCTTGCTTTAGCAGAGTGAGACTCTAAAAATACAGGCGTTTCTGTTTTTTTTTTTTTTTTCGTCTGGGACCTAGTTTGTAGGACACACGTTCCTGGCGAAGACCGTGGAAACTGGGGATAAGAATCGTGACGACTTTCATTGTATGCAAATGAGTCTTGTGATAAGCATGCGGTTTATTTTCGGCGATGACTGAAATGACGCATGTAAGTTTGGCAATGACGTAATTTCCCCGAATCGAGGCCCTTGATTTTCGAGCAATTATGCACGACATGCGCGCGTATTAAAAAGTAAATACCCTGTAGGATGAGAAAATATTATAGCGGGGAAATCCTGTTTTATGGTGTACTGAGGCGTGACGTTTCTCAGAATATTGTCGCAATTACTGGGAATCTAGGGTTAAATAGATTCACTTTGTTGTATGTATTTAATTGATAGATTTTCGCAGTTGTTAAGATGTGAAGTCGTGTTGCACTTTATAAATACTTGAAATATCAAGTATTTACTACTGGAAGCAACTGAAACTACCTATTATGGTTGATTTCCACTGTCGCGTAATTTTTACGTGCGTACGTGCGTAAAATTTACGTTCGCAAATAAAATAGAGGTAATGTATCAAAGGTCGTACGTAAGCATAAAAGTAGAAACTCTCTTAACTTCACAATTAATCTCAACACTTTATATCTTGCGTATATTTTATTTAAGTGATTAAAATTTACGTGCGTTAATGTGCGGGGCCAAGAACTCGTTAGGCCATCCTCTTTTTTCCCCCCGTTTAGCGTCGTCCGACCGACCCAAATTTTTGGCATTTTCGAAAAAAAAAAAAAGTAACGACGTAGTTAAACCATTTTTCACTTGAAATAATTCTTTTAATCTGAAAAATGAGCATAGTAACAGCATAGAGAAAAACAGGGACAAAGACAGGAACATTTCTTACAGTATATTGTGCATTTTGTTAATCCAATTATGCGAATGTTAAATCTTAACGTCATCCTGAGGTTCCAGGGCTTCCTATTCAAAGACATCTTATGATTTTTTGTTTGCAGATTTTTTTTTTCAATCCGACCAACCGACCCAATATCAGGAAACGCATTCGACGCTAAACGAAAAAAAGGGGGTTGGCCTAGGTGGAAGTTCACCCTAACGTTACGTATGTGTCACGGATGTGTTTATTCGGGTAGCTTTGTACTTGAATATCACGCACTCCACTTGCAGCCCCGCGAGCAGCCATATCGAGCTTTTCCGGAACGGTTCGGTCCACGAATTCTATCGCTTGAAAGCATTGATTAGTTTGCAACAAGCGACTTCTTCTGAATGAGTAAAACTTCGAGGTTTACTGGAAAATCAGGATCGAGGATCAAGGATTGGTGATGGAGAATAGGGGATCGAGGATCGGTTTAAACAAATTGAAAATAAAATAAATAAATAAATGGTGGTGATGTGGGCCACAGAATGTAGATAACTTTCACAGAACATAACCCCGTTCGCTCTACTGAACAGTAAATTTAAGTAAACTACTCCGAGTCTGACTGAGTCAGTTGTTTTGACGAGAAAGCGAAATTTTCCTGGAAAATGAAAGGTTTTATCCCAGTGATACTGTGATAAAATGCATGCTGTGTACAGCTGTAAACATTGTACTCTGAGACTGTATGGAGATATTAAAAGCAGATGTTAAGCAGCTATGAGAAATGTAATTACTTTCACGCGATTTTGATATCTTATACAACGGGCAACAAATTATGCAGGAATACGCACGAACTGAATGAACTGTCTATTGTATAAGGTCCTGCTAAACTTACACATTTTCCTGTGTTGAACATATATATACTGTCTCGAGCCGTATCTTGGTCCGCTACAAATAAGCTCTTTTATACTGGGCTCCTGATACTGATAAAAATCGTCGTTCAATTTTGTGAGTTTAAAATCCCTGAAAGAGTTCTCACTGGAGCATCAATATGTTGAAGGTTTTCAAAGGTTTCACAACGGTTGAAGCTAAGATGAGCGGCCTGTCTCTTCTTGCATTTTTTGCCTTTTGAGTATTTACAGTATGACATATAACACTCGTTTTGTATTCCAAACGAAAAATTAGTAGCACAGCACCGGCCCTTTTGACAACAAAACTTATCTTCAAGCAAGCTACTAAGAGCGTTCTTCTTTTTCAGGGGCACCCAACGTCAATTTTCGGAAAATATCTGTTCGGAAGACGATTTGAGATCTAGAATTTTCGGAACATTTGTTGTAAAATTTCTTGCTTGCCTGCCTCTCCTAGGATTTTCGAACATCTAAAAAATGGTATAATTGCCCATTTTTAAGGGATTTTTACCCTAAAAAGGTCACCTAGAATTTTCGGGAGCCTTTTTTCTGGCTGAAATTTTCGAAAAGGTAAGTTTTGATCACTATGATTTTCGGATCACTAGACTTTCTACTAGGAAATCCGAACAGATGAAAAATTTTTAAGGATTAAAATATGCCTATATCTACTGTTTACATACTAAAATACGTTCAACAATGCTATGTTTAAGTGGTTTTGAACTATGTTCTTGTTGAGTGCCCTTGCTTAATTTTTGTTCTCAAAAGCAGCCGTTCTTTTCAATGCATGAAACCTTAGTATCAAACTCTCTATGCGCTGTGATAAATGTTGAGTAATGCTATTTGTAACCGACCATTTGAATACAATTTTAAGTATTTGTTACAAATTAAAGGTTCTTAGTATAGTATTGTGGCTTTTAATTTTTCCCAATGTCAGACTGTTAAAATTATGAATGTTATTATTATAAAATTTTACATTTATTTGTTTCATTTCAACAGGTGCTTAAATAAGTTGGCATTTGAAGCAGGACTAAGAAAAATTTGTCTACCGACATAAGGATCTCCTATCACAGGTAAGGCTTATTGCCTCCACGTTTAGTCCTAATAATCGTAGCATGAAACCGACTTTTTACTGTAGTTGGACACAAATAATAACCACAGGCGGTCGTGGCAAGTATTCTCTTGTAAAATCCTTATGTTTCAATGTTATTGCAGCAAAACCGCCAGTTATCTTGTTAACTTTTAAACCTAAAGGACCTTTTAGTGTGGCTCTTGTTCTGGTTCTATATATATAAAACTAGACACCAGAAGGTGCATACTGGGCTGCCATAAAACCTAGACTAGATAGAAGTAATATATTGTATGAAAACGAGAAGTTTACCACAAGACAGCTGACAGCGTATGAAAGGAAGAAATAACCCTGCAAAACCCATTCCCATTCCGAACACCACCCCAACCTACGGGTCTCATTAAACTGTTTGAACTGAGACTATAAATAGATGATTGATAATTCCGATATTATTGATGGTCGATACAAAACAAGCTAGGTGGGTATACCGTGTGGCACGAAATTTTTGCGGATTGGTGATTTTTCTGTTTTGCGGAAACTAATTTTTGGGATCAGGACACATTGGCTTTTCTCGATGAGAATTAATTTTTGCGATTTTCAAAAAATGCCCAGTGCCTTCCCGGCTAGCAGAGGTATCTCACGACGAGGCAAAAATGAGAGGAAAAATGAGAAACCCCTGCTAGCAGGGAACCAGTACCCAGCATTGAAAATATTTTCGTTCTTTATAAGTACGTGCAATCAGGGTGCAATAGAAATACGGTACATATTTTCAAACGGTACTACGGGTAATAGGTACCTTGTGTAAAACCAGTATCCCATTGTATACCGTTTAGTTTGTGAATGAAAGAGTCAAGTTGTGATTGAACAGACACGATTTCTTAGTTCTGTATTTTTGTGTAGAGTATTTTAGTTAGAGTATGTTTACTCTGGTGTAAATTTTTTGCCTGAAAAATGTTTGCGGTAATTTTTTTTGAGGGAATTTTTTTTTGGATCGCTAGAAAAATCGTAAAATTAGAACCCGCAAAAATTTCCTGCCACACGGTAACTCTAGTTTATTTAAACTTTGCTTGTTTTGTTGACAGCTTGTCGCTTTTTTTGCAGTAAACAATAAAAAATCGTCCCGTTCGTAGGAGAAAAGCTTCATCGCAGCTAAAATTTTCTGCAATCGCGTGCAATACCATTGAGCTTAGTTAGAGCGGCCCAACAGAGTTAAATTGTCTAAACTAAACCAAATTGGTTCGACATGGACAGAGTTTTTTTCTGTTATTAGTAGTATTTTTATGAGGTGTGACTTAAAACACCGCGAACCGACCGGATTAAAATTAACTTATTCAATTTTTTGAACAATCATGGGGGGAAGTGGGGGAGAGGGGGTACGCGAAAGGGGTACCTTTTTCAGGCTTCAGGTATGAAAGGGTAGGGAAGTGCACCATTTCGGCCTGTAAAAGGACTACGCTCACGATCACGCTGTTTATCTTTGCTCGCAAGAAAACATACTTTGCATAGTGAGATCTTATATCTTCTTTCACCTTTATTGTTCCCTCGGAATCGTTACGTAAACATTTCCGGTCAATTGATTTGTTTTGTCTAATAAATCACATGCCATTCTTTAAACATTGAGTAACAACAGCCTCTGTATAAATATCTACATACGACATAAGATGATTGATCACTAAAAACGCGATTACAGTAGACGCATAAGTGATGATAAAAATAAAGAAAGAAAATAAAATCAATGAAATCAATACAAAAATTAAAAGCAATGATATTGTTACCCAAAAGCTGGTGATTGAAGTATTGAATTCTTCTATAAGGCTGTTGTGTTGATCAGAAACACTGTTGAATTTCACTAATCCAGTTGCTCGTAATGTTTACGTACTCAACAGTTTCAGTTTTAACAGTTGATTCGGGAGATTCTCTTAGCGCTTCTAACTCAGTAGGTAGCTAACTTAATACATAAGGTTTCTCGACAAAAGATTCACTCAGTTCGTTTTTAAGTGGGTCTCTCACATAGTTCATGAAGTATACCAGCCACCTCCAAAATGTACTCTTGCCATCTTTTACTGTGGGCTTACCATCAACAGCGTCTACATTCGTATTTTTGTCATTCTTATGCTTCCACTGAAGATAGATTGCTAATAGGGAGCTTAAGCAGCGAGGTTTTTGAGCGACGTACGTCAACCGGAAAAGGACGTTTTGCACTCTTGAGCCGTGATTTGAACAAATTTAAGAATTAGGACACTTGGCAATATAAATACGGTAGCGTCAAGGCTTATTAAAAGAGGAAAAGGCTCACTTCCGGTTGACGTGCGTCGTTCAAAAACGTCGCTGCTTAAGCTCCCTAATAGCTTCGAGTCGCTTTGAGCTCCTTAGAATGTACTCTGCTGAAGTCTGCTGACCTATTCCATGCATACTCTTATATCTTGCGCACGCGCTGAACACGGCAAAGTCCGATTTGTGCCAGAAGGAAAAACCAAGCCCATTTTAAAACTGAGCTGCGCCCCAGGCAGCCCAGTAATAATATAAAATAGAACGGAGTCTCGAACGCTTTTAAACAAAAATTGACGTCAGTCAGGAGCCCATCAAATGGAGCCTCCATCTCCATTAATTTCTTGAGTCAACCCTTTCGCGAGTAGATTTATAAATAGAACGGCTTGTTTCCCGCGAAAAGTGTCATATTTCCGTGAGTCTCGTATGTCACCGTGAAAAAAATGAAGTTGGATGAAGTCGAACTCAGAAGCCCGTCCTTCGACCGTTTTCCTTTTTTACTATACGTCCATTTTTACAGTTTTACAGCCGCTGGGATCTGGGATGAAATAAAAGTTAATGAATTACCCGACTGAGACTGAGCATGAAGCGATGGGACAAAGGCAGCGAACTGAGGATCACGGAAAGGTTCTTTGCGAGTGTTTGTTTTTGTTTTTGTTTTTACCGTCATACATCCCACATTTAAGCATGCACCTTGAAAAGAGTCGACGATTAAGCATTCTGTGGACGATTTGAAACTTTTCGATGATCAGCGCCGAAAAAGTGCCTGGATCATTTGATTTTTGTTATCGCCGTGGAGTGGATTTCGCCAGTTAAGCACAGCGTGCAAAAGCGATGACCTAAGTAGCAACTAAGGAGGAATGCTTCAGAAAAATTGCAGTCTTCTTTACAACTGACTTGTATCACCATGAGAGTTGCCTGATAAAACTGGCACTTGAAAAGTTGAACAGAAGATAACAGTTGCTCGACCGTGAAGCTAACTCAAAAGTAATTTGCTAAAGCCGGGGAATTTGTGACATCGCGCTCCAGTCCAAAGACCCTCTTATCTCAAGAAAAACAAAATGGATTGTATATGCGCCCAAAGAATTATGACTGACTAACAGGAGAATTCTCAGCAATTAATGTAGAAGTTTAGGCCAATTCTTTCCTTAGAATTCGCATCTGTAGATCACTTTTTTGCGAAAAAACAATGGCTGGGCTCGGCGCGCGTTACAAAACATAGCAGGGAATCATCACACTAACTGACGGACAAAACAACCACAGTATTTATTCAGACAAACGCATTTCGGAGAAAAACTTGAAAAACTAGAAATTTGATTAATATTGAGTCATTTAGCCGAAATAAGAACCTTAACGCTAAAAAAATTGGCTAAAACGAATCCTGTCAGAACTACAGACTGCAGGTAGTAGTTAATCATTACGCATATAACAGACCAGCTTCATGGCCTCTTATAAATATGAGACAAGCAACCAAAATTAAGATTAACATAGTCAGAGTTTAAAACTCTCCACAGTATAATCTACCCGCTAGAAAGAAAAGAAAGAAAATCTCTGAGGGATGAAAACGCTAAAGTCACGTTTCACTAGCTTATGATTTTGTTTGGCCTGTCAGCACCGGATTTCTGCTGTTTCATGAAGTACAATAGCAGTGTCATTTAGTCGTTGTGATTGGCTCTTCCCACCGTCGGCGCGCGAAGTCTCCCCTGGGAACCGTTCTAATTATAAATCTACTCGGGAAAGGGTTGACTCCAAGGGCTTGTATGGGAGATGGAGGCTCCATTTGATGGGCTCCTGCGTCAGTGCTGTTAGACATAGCCTTCTGTTTACCATTTACAAAAATATTCCCTAAAAATCAGTATGAAAAGTAAATGAAACACGACTTGTGGGGTCGTGTCGGTGAAAAATTCCTGAAAGGAACATAACGTCCGAAAAGTTAACGTAGTCCAATTTTCCCGGTCGCAATATTCCAAAAGGAAATCCGTGTTCCATTCTTCAAACCCATCTTTGATACCAGTTTCACTCTTTCGCGGCGGTTTTTCGCTAAATGGAACTCATGAGTACGATTCCGGGACGAAATTCACCTGCCCAAACCGTGAACAAACCGGTTTGCCCATGTAAACAGTAAACAATCATTGGGTCTGGCAATTGCATGCTCAACACTGTTACATTTAAAGAAAGTCACCATTTTGTTTCAAACTGGCTTTTTTCCACATAAAAAAGTCAAATTTGCCAAATTTGTACTGGTAATAGCATTATTTGTAGTGATATTTGGCATAAATACCACAAGCGATATTTTAAAATTGTTTTATGTAATTTCACGAGCCGTTAGGCGAGTGAAATTTGAGACAATTTTGAAATATCACGAGTGGTATTCATGCCAAATATCACGTACAAATCATGCTATTATTTGTTTATACTACTACCTGCAAAAGTTTTGTAATTTTCACATGAAGGTATTTCAAATTAAGCTGAAATACCACTGCTCTAAGCCAATCATATTGCAGAAATTTCTCGTGTAGTAGTATAAAACAAGAAAGAAGTTTGCAACGTGAAAAAGAAGCAAATGCAATTTTTTATTGTTGACCCTTTTCAGACGGCTAGGGTTGTATATGACCCATATGGAACGATGTATACATTCCTCCCTGGACCCATTAAGCTTTTAGTTTAAGTTAATAAATTGGTAAGCAACAACGTCAGCAAAGATAGATCTTTCCAGCGATACCTCGTTTTGGACATTCTGACCAATCCTGACAGAGTTACACTCACAAAAAAAGGTAACATTTTGGGGGAAAATCCACAGCCAATTTCATTGTTTACATACTACTTTTTGAAAATTAAATTTGTCCCTTTCCTAAAAAGTTAGACTTTTACGCATGCGTGAAAAACAAAAACAGCTGTTTAATTACGTCAGGTTAGTCGGAAAATATGCCTTTTTTTGCAAAACTTGTTTTTAGACATTCTTATGCTAATTAGCCGAAAACCATTCCAAAGAAGAGGAATTGGTGAAAAATAAGATTTTTTCGCTACTCCTCGGCCGTCCAAAAGGGGTTAAATGAGGCTTTCAATTCGTTCGCATCACAAATTTAACGTTTGTGGGTCACTTTATGCCCTAACAAGAACGCTCTTAGTAGCGTTGAGTCTCACTTGCTTGGAGCCCATAGGGCTTGGAGATAAGTTCTGTTGTCAAAGGTGCTGGTGCTGTAATGCTATTTTTTCGTTTTGTATACAAAACGAGTTTTACATGTCATAATGTAAATACTCAAAACTTAAAAATTGTAAGGAGAGACAGGCCGCACATCTTAGCTTCACACTGGTGTGAAACCTTTGAAAACCTTTTCGTATTGATATTGCTCCAGTGAGGAGAACACTTTCAGGGATTTTACACTCAAAAAATTGAACGACGATTTTTACCTGTATATCGGAAAAGCTCGATATGGGATTTCTATTTTATGGACATAGATATATAGCTTCTATGTAGCGGACCAAGATACGGTACAGTTTTTTGTTCAGCACAGGAAAAATGTGTAAGTTTAGCAGAACCTTATACAACGGACGGTTAATTCAGTTCGCGCGTATTCCTGTTGAATTTGTTGTCCGTTTTATAAGATATCAAAATCGCGTGAAAGTAATTACATTTTCCATAGCTGCTTAGTATCTGCTTTTGATATTTCCGTACAATTCATGTTTACGCGATCTTAGAGTACAATTTTTAGATCTGTTCACAGCATGCATTTTATCACAGTATCACTGGGATAAAGCGTTTCATTTTCCAGGAAAATTTCACTTTCTCGTCAAAAAAATCACTGACTCGGTCAGACTCCGAGTAGTCTACTTAAATTTAGTGCTCAGTACAGCGAACGGGGTTATGTTCTGTGAAATTTATCTACAGTCTGCGGTCCACAATGAAATTACCACCATCCACGATTTATTTAAAATTTATTTTATTTCAAGTTTTTTTTTTTAACCGATCCTCGATCTCCGATTTTCGATCCCCGATCCTCGATCCTAGTTTTCCGATATACCTCGAAGTTCTGCTTATTAAGATTGTTTTTTTTTTTTTTTTCGACCACTGAAGTAATCACTTATTCTACAGTAATCTACTCTTTCAAACTCTAGAATTCGTGGACCGACCCGTTCCGGAAAAGCTTGATATGGGATTTCTATTTTATGGACATAGATCGCCATGAAGTGCTGCAAGTAGAGTGCGTTATAGTCAAGTAAAAAGCTACCCGTATAAACACATCCGTGACGCATAAGTAACGTCAGACGGGTAGTTGAGGTTGCTTCCAGTAGTAGTCGAAGGTTAAACCATTGATATCTCAAGTATTTATAAAGTGCAACGCGAACCATAGAGTTCCAGAGATTGCAACAATATTCTAATAAACGTAAGGCCTCAATACACCACAAAACAGGATTTCGCCGCTATAATATTTTTACTTTTTAATACACGTACGGTGTATCCTTACACGAAAATCAAGGGGAAAATTACATCATTGCCAACAGCTTAAAACGTGATCAACTTACATGCGTCATTTCAGTCATCGCCGAAAATAAGCTGCATACTCATCATGAGTCTCATTTGTGTACAAGTTTGTATACAGTGAAAGTTGTCGCGATTCTTATCCCCAGTTTCCACGGTCTCCGCTAGGAACTCCTGGGAGCATGGCCTCCTAATTGGTGCCCACCGACAAAAAAAATAAGAAAAAGAAACGCCAGCGTTTTTAGAGTCTTGTTTGCTAAAGCAAGCTCGACTAAATCAACTCATTTCGACAGTATACTGTTGCTATTATTGAATGGAAGCTTAATTTTTCCATCGTATCCTTTATTTCTATGCCTTTAGCCGACAGCGGTAAAGCTCAATCCAGTCAATTCAAACACCTTATTGTCAATACGACCACCGGCCATACGGTCTAGCTCTCTTCCGTGTCCCATCGGCAGTCTATTCAGAAACAGGACGTTTTTAAAAGCTCTAGAAACTTTTTAGCAGAAAACGAAAAATCTTCCAGACAATTTTTTTTAATTCATCTGATATCATTCTAACGACATAAATTCTTCGAGAGAATCATTACCATTTCCATGCCATTTTAACAGGCATGTTTTACCTTTTGCTTTTCCTTCAACTTAACTTTAAGCTGGTATTTAATTTTCATAAAAACTTGGCCAGCCTGCGTAACAAGTGGATTGTTGTTGTTGTTTTTTTTGCTCGTAGGGTAATTCGCTAAAAGCAAACCCTTCTGTGAAATGGCCCCGTTTTCTTGTTTGACCTCTTTTAAGCTTTCGCAAGGTCGTATCTCCTACTTTAAAAACCACAAACGAAAAAAAAAAACGCTCAAAAAGCCTGCTACGTGGGCTAAATTTTACCTTTCTAGGCATAATCACTTTTCTTCTTCCAATACGGCGGATTTGCATTTATGACACAGCTTTATCTCATACTAGAGGAGTTATAAGAGAATATGAAAACCTTTATCTTCAAAAATTTCAGTGCCACTTTGTGAATTTGCTTTGGTAATTGTTGAGATGCAATGGCGCAGATGCCACTCGCAGTGTGTGGAATTTTTGTAATGCTGCTTGGTTTTGTGGCCAATTCTGGAGAAGGTAAATTGCTTAGATTGAATTGTATTATTCCCAGTCGTTATCACGATAAGTTCTATTATAATCGATTGAGCGGGAATTTCTTTCTTTCTTTCTTTTTCTTTCCTTTTCCTTCCTTTTCCTTCCCCTTTCTTCTTTTTAAATTGTAGATTCAATGCTTCCAAGTTAAGCTGTAATGTAGTTTAATGGTGACAAAAAGAATTCGGGAAAAAACAGAGATTATGTGCTGACTAGTGTTACTTAAAAGCGTAACTTTTTCAGCTAAAGTGCTAGCATTTCAACCCTTTAATGTGCTGAAAGAGTATTCATTTGCATTCTCTGCAGAAAACCGCAATTGTATTGAACATCAACTACGGCTGTTATTTTTTTCGTTCATAACAGACACAAATTTGGCACCGTGTGAGCAGAAAATAGAAGACGTGAGAGGCGTGATCAACACTGCTAAATCTGGCACCATCTCGGACTGTACCTGGCTTATTACAGTACCAGCAGGCCATAACATTTTCCTAAAATTCACAACATTGCAGTTACATTTCAAGTACAAGTATGACACAAGTGAGGAAACAACTTTACAAGTATGGGACGGTCGCAGCGAGTCAAGTGCTTCGCTTGGAATTTACAGTGGAACAAAACGAGCATTTTCCCTGCAGTCGAGCGGCCGTTACCTATTCATACGGCTAAGAGTGTTCCCTGATACTGTTCTTTGTAATGTTCAAGGATTGTTTTTCGCTAGTACTGTAATAGGTAAGAGTGATTTTGGTGTTTAACTCTAGCGTGGTCAGGACTGAATCCCGACTTATCATGTTTACCTATAAAGGTATAATAAGCAATATATACAAGAACCCGCAAAAAGTAGTTAAGTGAAAAAAAATCTAGGCAAAGATGTCTCACCAAAACATCTCTATTGTCGAATAAACAAGGCTACTGGTATCACGCTCAACAGCAGGTAACATCCAAAGGCAAGACTGTTTCTGATTCCTTTTCCCGTCACACTTTCACTAAACGGCTGGTTTTTACTAGGGACGGAGTCGGAGTCGGAGTCGGAGTTGGAGTCGGAGTAGTATTAAATCAGAAGCGTAGGACTTTACAATCCGGTGAAAACAGCTTTCTGATTCCGAATCCGACAATCTTGTTTTCAGTTGATCGTAATCGATGGGGTCATAAGCGGAGTCGGAAGAAAATGGAGACGTTCTGATTCATCCGACTCCGACTCTGTCGCGCTGATGACTCCGCTTACGACTTCGGTTTTTGATTTTCACAAGATCATATGCGCTCTTACGACTCCACTTACAATTCCGACTCCGACTCCGAATTCTTAAGGCTTGTGGCTAGTGAAAACCAGCCTAAGAATTAGAAGTTGAAAAACTGGCCAATGAAAAAGTGTTGAAATAATGCACGCACGCTTCTTCGGGGATGAAATTCGAATTATACGGCGGACGATCAACGAAATTAGTTGTTGTTGTTGTTGTTGTTGTTACAGAAAAGCCCGAAATTCATTTCCCTGGTCCTACCGTCAGAGCAATGCCGGGTCTCTGGTTGGTGTGCTCAGCGAGAGGAACTCCTCCAATTCAGATAACAATAAACCAGAATGGCAAACAACTGGTTAAGGGAACTGGATTTGTTAAAGTACCTATTGCAGACGAAGGTGAATACAGATGCACAGCAAGGAATGGAGCTGGAACTGATTCCAAAGAAACAATTGTATCTTTTCCCACAAGTAAGTGTAACCACTCTTACGCAGCGATAAGAATTCTCTCGTCGCATAGTTCCTCAATAACTACTTAACGGCTATGGTTAGTATTCCAGTCGGTTTCGACCGGAAAAACTGTTCGTTAGATTACCTAAAGTTCCTTTACGCTCTACCACAGCCGGTAAACTTCCAGCTGCAGCTAAGCAGGTTACGCACCGTGATAATGTAATCACCACCTAGATCTTTGTAATCTTTTCAGAGACATCTAATCTTTAAACTACAAAAATATTTTATCAACTGCGTTGAAAGTAAGTCTTTTTTGGCAAAGTTTTGGCGATCCCTCAACTGAATCTCGTGTTTTGGTGTTCTGGCCGTTAACTTTAAAAAGTCCTTTGAGGATCTCTTTTAGGGAAGTTTGGAGGACGAGGGCATGGGCCTGGTGTTGAGACGCGGCTTTTTGCGGTCCGCGCTTTTCATTTACTTCTTCATCTCGAGCTTTGTGCCTGGTAAGCAGAGCGAGTCTATCGTCTATGGGAACACTCGGGGATGCTGTAGACACTGTTTTTGTGGAGTTTCTGCAGTTTGCAGCTACGAAAGGAGGGATTTTTCTATCTGTTTCTCGCCAAACAGACAGATTTATGCAGGCTTTTACAATGCAGATGAGACCTTGATCACCACAGCCTTTGGGGATTTGTTCATTGGATGCTTATCCTTTGTAAAGAATCAAAACAACATTCCAAAAACCTTTTGTTCTTCATCGAATTACTAGCGGTTTATCTCCTTTATTAGATTGCGGAGAAAGTGGTGTAAACAAAGAATACCATATTACTTGAACTCCTGCGCCTGTTTCAACGTTATGGAGCTGCGTATTTCGCTCAGTGGCGATATTCATCTGTTACCAGGTCCGGAAAATAGTAGCAATATTTCAGTCCATGTTGGAAATCGGCAAAATCGAAGCATCCCTGAAGCTCGTGGTCATGTGAGTGCCAATTGTACAAGGGTACAACTGACAAAGAAATCGCAAGCAGCGGTGCATAAAAACCAAAACAAGTTCTTAAAAATAGCCCACCTTCATGCGGAACTCCTTAAATGTAGACAGCTCTTTTTTTCAAACAAAGGAGTTGGCCTTGGAAAATGATTTTAACATCCTATCAATCTCGTGGTTCAACTCTTCTGTGACTAATGCTAGTGTGGAGATTCCTGGGTACAGGATCTTAAGGCTTGATCGCATTGGAAACACAGGTACCGACGTCTGTACCTACGTCAAATCTGTCCTGAAGGCAGAAGTCCTGAAGGATCTCACGGGAACAACCGAGTCTGGCCTACATCAATTGTGGATTCAAGTTCAAAACAAGAAGCTTCGCTCGCTACTTGTTTGTATTATTTACAGACCTCCTGAAATTGGAGTCGCATGTCTTGAGAATGAATTGATGCCCAAGTACATCCAGGCTTTATCACTTAACAGGGTCATCGTGGTAACTGGCGACTTAAACTGCGATCTCCTCTCAGAAACCCTACAGGAGACGCGTCGCGCTCCTTTTGAGCAACTGTAAATGTTACGCAGCTAATAGATAAACCAACTAGAGTAACAGAGACATCACGCAGTTTACTGGATATCATCATGGTTTCCCACCCTGCTCTGGCCAAAGTGAGCGGCGTTCCCGAGGTAACTATAAGCGATCATTTCTAAGTCGTCGTTGACATCAATCTAAAATCACCTAAGCAGGCCCCAACTTACGTTGTTACGCGTAGCTTTCGTAACTACAAAGCTGACCAGTTTGCAACCGACATCGCCCATATCCCGTGGGATACTATTAACCTTAGAGATTCAGTTGATGATAGGCTCGATACGTTCAATGACTTGTTTTTGGCTTGCTTGGAAACCATGCCCATGTTAGAACAGTGAAAATACGACACAAACCAAATCCATTTATCACGGAGGACATAAGGGATTTGATGAAAGAAAGGGATTGTAAGACTGGGACCAAGGAGGATTGAAAAGTTTTTAGGGAGCGGCGAAATAGGGTAAAAGTGGCGTTACGAGAGGCAGAACGGGAATACTATAACCAGGAAATTCGCGAAAATAAGAACAACTGCGGGGCAATTTGGAAAACCATTCGCAGCGCTCTTCCAAACAAGACAGGTCGCGCGAGCTTCACCAAAGACACAGATATACTTGCTAATGAATTCAATCACTTTTTTACATCTGTGGGAGAGAAGGCAGCTCGTGACTCTGCAGAGCTTGCCCAGTCGCACAGCTTATCAAACCTTTCCATCCCTTTTAATCTTTGTCCGTCACAGACCTCTGACGGGCTGTTTGAATTTAAGGAAGTAACTAGTGATGACGTGCAGTGCGAAAGGTGATTATGGCTATGCCTTCGAATAAAGCCCCAGGATATGACAGAATCCCCTTATTTGCGATCAAGGCCTGTTTGCCTTACGTATTACCAACCTTAAATGCACTAGCAAACCTTTCGTTTGCCAGCTCCGCTCCCCTAGGGCCTGGAAGAAATCAGTGGTGGTGCCGCGCCATAAAGATGGAGATCATCAGATTCCTAATAACAACCGTCCGATCTCGTTACTTCCCGTACTTTCCAAATTGACCGAGAAGATTGCTTTGAATCAATTTAATGACTTTCTGACCCAGCAAGGCACCCTCACATGCCGCCAGAGTGGAAATCGCAAATACCACTCTACCGAAACCCTGAGTCTGCTTGTTACTGGCCACATTTTCAAAGCAATGGACAAGAAGGAGATAACGGCTATGGTCCTGATCGATCTAGGCAAAGCACTCGATAGCATATGTCACAGGACTCTCCGTCTTAAGTTGCAAGAGCTGGGTGCGTCAAGTACAGCGTCGAAGTGGTTTCAGAGCTACCTTACTGACCGTGTGCAGTCAACACGACTAGCTCTGAGGAACTAATCGTTACACATGGCGTACCTTAGGGGTCCATTTTAGGGCCGCTCCTGTCCAGTCTCTACATGAATGACTTACCCTACTTTGTCAAATTTTCAAGTGTCGAGTCATATGTCGATGATACCAAGGTTTACCTTTCGTTCTTATCCAAGGACATTGACTTCTGCCTGACTAAAGTCACCGAGGATCTTCGTCTTATCGCCGCCTGGTGCTGTGCTAATAAGCTACTCATTAATCCTAGTAAAACCAAACTTGTTTTTTTTTAATTCGACAGCTATTAAGTAAAATTCCGGATGTCAGAGTTCCTTTTCTTGGCCAAAACCTTGCTCCCGTACCCTTAGTTAAAGACCTGGGTATCATACTAGACTCGAGCCTTACATTTAATGAACATGTAAAGACATTGACTTCGTCCCTTATCTCTACTCTGTGTCAGATAAGCAAAGTTAGGCATCTATTTTCCAAATCAGTACTCTTCACCATTTTGAATTGCTTGGTTTTTAGTAAGCTCTTTCATTGTTCTACTGTATGGTCTGGCACTTTTAAGCAGGACATTCATAAACTGCAACTTGTACAAAATTTTGCTGCTCGAGTTTTAACTAATACCAGGGAGTTCGACCATATCTCACCAGTCATGCGGGAACTGGGTTGGTCCTCTATTAAACATCTGCTGTTAGTACGCGATGTCACACAGTTGTACAAAATAGTGAACGGACTTGCGCCCTCCTATCTAAATAGCTACATCAATAAAAGGACAGGAATCCATAGTTATAATACCGGATTCAGGGAAAATCTAGACGTTCCTATGTGCAGGACAGCCACCGCACAACGTTCCTTTCACTATCGGTCTATCAACACTTGGAACTCGCTAAGCGCAAGCACAAGAAATAGTAAAACGCTCATTTGCTTTAAGCGCGGTGCAAAATTGGAGCTATGTCACACCGAGAACTAGGTGACTGATTGCATGACTAAAACAGTTTTTATATGTCATAGTTAGAGCATTTTTAAGTCAATAATAAGTATATAGAGAATACTTCATGGAAAGTGCTGGCCTACGGTATTTACACACGAGTTGTTGACGTACCAGAAATCGAACGAGTGAGCACAGCGAACGAGTGAGATTTCTGAGACAGAACCAACGAGTGCGTAACTACCGTACAAAGCACTTTCCATGTGGTATTGTGTTTGTTATATACATACTGAGACATTCATCATTTTGGCGGCCTTTTTATTTTAAATCTTTCAAAAATGCTGAAATTTGCCGCTACACACTTACCGCAAGATGACAACGAAAACGAAGTATCAGCTTTTTAGTAAAAACGTTTGTTAAAAACATAAATGACGGTGAGGGTATACGTATGAGGTAATCCAAGAGCTGTAAGTAATCTTAACTGTTTGTTCTCAATGCACAATTGAAAATAGGTGAATTTAAGTAAAATGGCCGGTTTCAATATAAGCTTAAGCGTAAATGAAACGCAAAGTAGCTCCGACAGAAAGCACAACAAAAGCTTACGTCTCGTTCTGTTTATCCCTTTTCGCTGTTGTTTCGCCGGCTCTCTACCGTTTTCTTTATCGACAGTGAAACAAACGAAACTATTCCACTCCATTTCCGAAATGTTTTTCACCTTTTTAGCGAGAAAAACTCTTTGAGTAAAACTTTTCTCGTTGAATGTGTTCGAAAAGGCGCTGCAAGCTGCAATAAAAGGCGGGAATTTTGGCGCGGAACTCTCACACCTCTGAGGCTTCTGATTGGACGTATCATTTTTCTCACACGTGAAAAAACGTCGTTCGCGATTCTGATTGGACGTATCATTTTTTTCACGCGTGAAAACCATCGTTCGCTCCTCTGATTGGCTAGATCTAATTTGCGTACAAAAATTTACGACATAGCTTTTTGGTGGGTATTTCTCAGTATGTATATAATAAACGTATATATGTATGTATATAGTACATACGATATATTATCGTAGCTATTTCTTAATTCAATTTTATTCCTATTTTCCCATTTATTATTAACAATTAGATTTGTAAATTAGTCTTTTTCTCCTTCTTCTTTCTTTGTTCCATTTTGTAAATTAAATCGGAAGAGCCACGTAGTGGAGATTTAATAAAGATACTGTACTGTTTTCCTCTGGACTTTTGATATAATTTCTTCTCTTCTCTACTGAAAAGCCGGCTACTGTCTTAATTCTGTTTTCCTCTTCAGATTGCGACAGCAAATGTCGTGGATCTAGTAGTTATCCAGGCGAAGAGACTAAAAACGACTATGAGTGTTCGTCTTCATCTTCATACAACATTTTCAGATGTGCACCCACAATTGCCACACACATGTAAGTAGACCCTGTTGACTTAGTACTGAAAATCAAGGTATTTCATGGCAGACATTCTTGTGGGGTTCTCGCCTTTCCAACACAACACTGCAAATAGTCTCTTACCATTTTGGGTGGTAGTTATAGCACTGATCATTCTTCCTGGTGTGTCCCCTTCGTGAAGACCGTGTGAGGTGGACTCCCATAAAAGTTTAGTGGAGGTCCAAGGCTTAGAGGTTGTATACGGGGGGTGATCTAACAAAGGCTGTTTGGGCAGTCCTATGAATAACTTTATGTCCTCCCGGAAATTTCGTCGACCCTCCCGAATTTTTCGGTGGCATTCCCCATAAATGTTTAATTTCCCAAAGTTGTTTTAACAATTAAAATTAAAAATTGTGATTAGAGATTTTTTGCAGCTTCTTGTTAATTATGTAACTTGTTAGTTATCTAACCTTAGTTATTTTTTCGTTTAGAGGGTATCATGATAACACAGAAAGACTGTCAAACTTTTTAAGCATATAAAATCGTGTTTTTTTGTTTTTTAATCACCGATGAATCAGGCGAGCAGTGAAGGGGCCAACCACTAGGGGGTCTGGGGGCGTGCTCCCCCAGAAAATTTTGAAATCTTGGTGCTCTGAAACGCCATTTCTAGTGTTCTGAGAGGACAAATTCTGTCCAAAATGTTCTCTAAATCAATTGTCCTTTTTATGCTTATTTTTATTGGCGTGACTTCGCGTAGAAGTAGTCAACTTTACTTCATACAAGTTATGCAGTTTTTGAAATTGCTCTGGATATCACTTTCAGCTAAGAACCGTATTTATTCGAATAAGCGCCCAACCTCGAATTAGCGCCCACCTCGAATAAGCGCCCATCCTAAAGGTAGAAAAAGTTAATGAGCGGCCAGCCTCGAATAAGCGCCCACCCCCTCCTCCTCCCGATCAAAATCAAATAAGCGCTCACCCCCACCCCACCCACTTGAGTAAATGAATTCCAATAGGAGACTTCCCCGAGGACAGAGTTTTCTTCAGAGTATTTTACAGAAACCTTGTTTTGTTACTTCTTCGCGTTTTGTTATTAGCATTTATTGTTTTGTTGCAAAATAAACATACTTCACTTGCTGAAAATGGTGAAAATTTAATAAGCGCCCACTCTCAAGGTCCAAAAATTTAGTAAGCGCCCAGGGCGGTTAATCGGATCAGTACGGTATACTCTGTGTGGTGTCATTGTATGAGTATCATAAGAATTCATTTGGAAATTTCAGAACAACTATCGAAATCTGAAATTTTCCTATCCCGAACGCATATTGATCGGGATTCGGGATTTTCGAGCA